TTTCCCATGACACCACAGGATTTTCATCTGCAGAGACCTAAAGTACCAATAGACTAAAACGTCAGTCACAAGCCTTTGCTAATTAATGCCTTCACTGGAAAATGTCTGGCGTTCTTCAGAAATCAGGGAGATACAGAATGCAGAATTCATTCATATTTATATTAAAAAAAAAAAAAAAAAAAGGCAGGAAAAGGCAATGCCACATAATCAGCTGTTTGATAAAGCTCCAAATCAGTCAGCTAGGCTAAAGGTCATGAATATGTAGCTAGATCTTAGTAAGGCTCAGTGGCAAATCATCACACATGCTTGCTGCAGTTTCCTGAGACCGTATAAAACACTTGGGAGCACAAGCCAGGCCAGTAGGCTGAGAAATGACATTAACCATTCAGCCTTTGCCATCTGTCACCGTGCAGCCAAGCAGACACTTCTGATGGAGTCGTTCTGTGTCTCCTCATCTGGGTTTTTAACTGAACTTCTTCACATAGGGCTTGCCAGCAAATACAAAGTGCTGTCACCCACAGCACTGCCATTCTTATTCTCATTGCTAAAATTCCCGTTTTCTTCCACGTCATTGATATATCCAGGCAGTAAATGACCTGTCATACTATTAAATTAATCAGTGAAACCAATGCATTTTTGAAAGATAGTATGAAATACTTTGTAAAGCATCACTATATAGAAATTGCAGCCTATGGCATAATAGAATGAAGAATGCTTTTCTGCTTATGCTTAAACATCCCAGATATGTTTGCTGAATACCTTAGTTCTGCAGACTTCCACTTCCACTTACTATCAACAAGAGCCACTGAAGGATCAGGATAAAACCTAAAAAGACTTTTTTAGTTTTCAGTGAGATCAGTGCCCCAGTGTGACTGAATTGGAACCTAAATGAGTGCCAGTGCAGGGAGGGGGGTGGAAGTGCACAGCTGGTTTTTGAAAGTTCAATCCATAGGTGCAGACAGAAACGGATCTAAATACTTTTGGAACACCAGAGAGTCATTTTGATAGGACAGAAATAGCTACTTGTTTCTAGTATAATAATACATCCTTTAAAAAAAGAAATTTAAAAATTTATAGCAATATCATATTTTAAAATTCTGTCCTTTTAATACAGTTGATGTTATTTTGGGGGTTTTCCTAAACCTCCAACAATGTTCCCTCTTTTTTTTCCTCATCTTACACCTCCAGAATACTTGTCCCACAGCAGGACCCCCTTCAAGGTTATAGGTTGCCCTTGCCTTCTGACACAAGAGCAGTAGAAGGATTGCTGCTGCTGGTGCTTGGACCCCAGGGAGCCTTTTGGGAGGAAGGGTGATTGTGTGTGACCATGTGGGAGGATCAGCACCACTAGGAAGCTCAGAGCAATTATTGAGGGTAAGTCAGAAGCAGGTGTCTCCAGACAACCTGTAAAGATCCAAGGATGCTAGTACCCAAACCACTGCACATCTCACAGGCCTGCTGCTCTGCGTTTTTCTTGGCTTTTCTATGGAATGGGGTGATCCACCCTTTGGCAAACCTTTCATTGCCAGAAATATTTCAAGGAATTGTTGTCTGAGTGCATATACCACCCTCTCTAATTATGCAGAGTATTTCACTGAAAGCTTTCTCAGTAGGCAGACACATGGCATAAGATCGACTACATCAAGAGCCTGAAATACAGAATGCACTTTAACTGTTCATTGTCAGTCTGGACAAACCAAATTTGGCATCCCCAGCAAATGCTGCCACCAAAGAACAAAGTGATTAAATGAATTTATAGTCCATGTAACCACTGGATGACAAACATTTCTGCCTTGTACCAAAATTGGGAATGTTGTTGTTTATGCCAGGGGTGGATCTGAAACAATGTTAACACGTCGTGGTGGTCTCCAGTTAGATCTTCAGCCTTCACATGTATCCACTAACTCCATTTGCCAGTGGATTTCTCAGCAAGTTTATTGCACATGATCTTTTCTGGTGTGTTTTCTCGATACAGTGTGGAGTTGTGCTTTTCACATTAATTTATTAATAATGTTCTTTTGAAACTTTAACAAGTACTGATTTTGGTATATAATCCTGGGTCAGATGAGTGTATTGATGTTCCTAACCTAACCCTGAAATCAGACAGCTTGAAGATGAAGCCTAGAAAGCTCTTTGCAGTTCAAGCCACAGCTGCTCACCAGTTTAAGGGAGGAGACAAATCCATCAATCCTAATTTAATGGGAGAATTTTCAGGTAGTCAGTAATTGAGTTGGAATTTGGCCAAAGCCTTGGGGTTAAAGAACCTACTGTTAGGAAATGTGTTAGAGGATCTTTAATGAATACAAACAATTGAGATCATGGATCCTTCTCTTCTGCAAGGGGCAGCAGAAAATGCTGATTTGCCTGAAAAAAAATAAAAAAAAAATAAAAAAAAATTGGTGCCTGTAATCAGGCTGGGACATTGAAACAAATATGCCATCTTCAGAAACACCAGAACAATTTTCTTACCAATGAAGATCTCAGTGTGGTGACCTGTAGGAGGAGTAGCTGGCCCATGTATTTTAGTAATAACTCTCACATCAGTACTGGGAAAGAACCACTAAGGAAGTAAAGAAATCCTTAACTAACATGAATTGACTCACATTAGATCCAACCAAGTTGGGAATTTCTTCCCTGTTTTTTGGTCTCAAAAAATCTGCTGGTTTGCAGAATAATTTCAAACAAATTTATTAAGCCCTTAAGTTAGACTGGACAAGAAGGTCTCCAGACTCGCTGTTTTCTATAGATAGGTATACCCATATTCATAATTTCTTGTGGATTTCTTACACATGTTTATTTCTAAGTATAGCTAATGATTGGAAAGAGGGTCATGACAGGAATAGTCCTTGGCAGCCTAAACATGAAGAAAAATTAATGCCTTATAGATACTAGAATTGTTTGCCTTTGAAGATCTCTGGGTGAAAAGAATCGTCTCAGCCAAATGTAAGTTACTGTGTGCTCAGAGGGGTTGCATTTTGTTGTCTTAAGCCACATTTAGTGTGGGGTACTTTATCAGCTGAATCAGAGAAGTCCCTTTAAAAGCAGCAGTCTTTAAAAGGCTTATGAAGGTATTTACTTCAGAGATTAAAAAAATATGCGAGTCAAACTTTATATGGGTGATTACATTTTTCAGTGTGGGACTTGAAGTGCCAATGCATTATGCTGCGTTGCATCAAGACAGCCCCCCAGAGCAGCAGCGATTTTGTAATGCTACCTGTTAAAGCTAAATTCTTGCCAAACTAATGGAGATAATGGTTTATTTGTGCCTTCTTTAAGTATGCACTTACTTTTCATTTAAAGCTCATAGTGGGTGTGTAGTTCCCAGCACACTGACAGAGAAGGACCTGACGTATCAAGTATCTCCAGGAACTCTGGAATTATTCCAAGCTGTAATATTTACACCTCTGTGTGTGTGTAATGGCTCAGGTGGTACTGGGTGAATCATATTTAGGCCAACCAGTGCCCTGCTCAGAGTATAGAGGGCCTGAGAGTGAACCTCAATTCCAAAATCTACACTAAAATTTATATATTTAACTTTGGGCTTCTATTAAAGAGAGTACTTCCTTTGTACAAGCACAGTTTGAAACACAGTCTCTGTTCTGTATTACCGGGATTAGAGTTTGGAAGGTAAAGTCAACTTTATTTAAAAACATACACAGTATGAAAACTAAGTAAGTAACTCAATTTTAGTGCCCTGCCTGAGATTCCCTGAATTGCCCTAATGCTTTCCTCTCCAGTCTTAGTCCTTCAAAACAAATAGACAGCAAAACCTGGGCAAGTGGTTAATTCCTTCAAGATGACATGGAGTTGGAATCCAATGAAATACTATTCTTCCTTTTATATTTTATTTTTGGTGTGGATTATTCCAGGATATTTATCCTTCTCTCTTGGAATAATTCTGCTTTTGGAAGAATTTCATAAAACCAACATAGTACACAGTTTAACTTACTGTGACCCACTGGCTCCTAGAATAACTTCTACTGATTTATTTCTCAACTGTTGGCTATGCTCTGCTGGCTTTTAACTCCTTTTATGCCCCTCAGATCTGGAATTGCTGTTGAGATATTTTTTCCTGAGGACCTTTTATTTCTGATTTACTGTGTGCTTCTCTAAGTAAAGGAATTACTCTCATGGCTGTAAAGTATTAGGAAGCTGCTGATGCTTTGTGAGAGCAGAACCACACACAGGAGACACATATAATTTGCTTTGTAATTGAATGGTACATTTCTCAGCATCCATACTTTCAGCTGTTGGGATTTCTCTTTTAAGATGATAAATCCTTCAGAGGTTGCAATGCATTCCTATTAAAGACATGTATTTCCCAAGTTCATAATAATAAGTTACCTGAGCACAGAATTGCTGGAGAATCTCCCTTGGGGTTTTGCGTAATCCTCCGGTAACCTTGTGCAAACTTCTCCTGGGATGTAACAGAAACTTGGCACCTTCTTCTGGCTGTCCCTGAGTTGGTGCCTCTCAGAGCAGTGCCCTGCACCGTTGCTGCGAGCTTGTTTTTGTCTTTGGACTGATTGGATCTTTCTTCTGGAGGCCAGGTTGTGCCAACTTTACTGGGGCTGTGCTCAGTGAAACTATTCATGGAGCGAGGTGAGCTTGAGGAACTGCTCAATGGGAGCTGGGCTGGCACTGCCTGGCCCTTGGAAGCAGAGAGAGGAAACTTTTCCTCCTTTTGTGAAAAGCAGAGAGCATGTGTAACTGAGAGAGATGGTGAGCAGGAATGTGTCAAGAAGAAGTAGACATGGGAAGGAAATTAATTTTTGATTCATTATCATGGAAGAGCAGCTAAGGTGGAGCCAAAAAATACTTGAGAGATTTAACATGAGATCTAAATTTTATTTTAGAATTCATACTGCAATTTCATTGCAATGGCAAAAATGATTCAACTGAATAATTGAACTGAAGCTGATCATTATTCAGTTTTTCTTGATGGTTTGATGGATGAACTGATATTGAAGTTTAAAAATCTCTCTCCTTTTAGCAAAAAAAAAAAAAAAAGTCACTGTTCTGCTCCAGAGTGCATGTTTGAGAAGGACTGGATATACAGTGCCTTTGCTCTTGCTGCTGTAGATGTAGGTGAATGTGGATATGGACACTGGAGTGAGTATCAATATATTTTACAAACCTTGAAAATATAAAGGAATAACAACTACTTCTCCATATCTTCTTTTTTCTTCTTTTTGTTTTTTTTTTTTTTGCTAAATTTGGGGAGTAGTGCTTTTCATTGAAACCATGAGTATTGCTGCACAGGTTTGTTTAAACCAAAAGCAATTGCCTGTCCCTAGCCATTACTCATAGTGAGAAAACTTGACAAGATTTAGCTTAGGCCTCTCCCAGTCCCTGGAGCTTAGATATAGTCCAGGACACACCATGTGGATAAACAAGAGGGTTGACACAGCTGTGCAGGAGCTGTGAGGAGGTTTTGGAGCAGGCAAGCAGGAACAGCTTTGGGTAATTGCCATTGCACCAGATCCTGCTCTGAAAATGCTGTTCCGCCCACACATAACAGTGTCTTCCTTTCGGGACACTGGAGACTACCCGGCTCTGGGACAGAGCAAAGTAAACTCCCATCATCAGTTCAGGACCCAGCACTTGGTTTCCTGCAACCCTTTCACTCGTGTAGAGCAAGGGGAATGTCCTGTGGGGAGCTGGGTTCCTCCAGCTGGAGTACACCCATGTGTTCCCCTTCTCCGCACACACCTGGATCTGCACTTCCTGTCCAGAGCCTGCGCTGGATGCTCTGCCAGGACACCTGGTCCTTCCTGGTCCCTGGGAGTGTCATCCACATTGGACTGCACTGTCCTTATAAACAGACCCTGCTCAGGGCAGAAAAAGTACTCCTAAAAAATGAAGTGTTAACAAAAACCAACTGCTGGAGGAAGAACCACTGGTGTGGATCAGAGAGCTACGATTCCCAGCTTCCACGAGGACACATGCTTCAAAACAGTTCTCTAATTGAAAATTAATTCTCAGAACAACTTCAAGCTTTTTTAAGCTACTGCTCAAGTAAAAGGAATAATCACTTTCTGTAGCACCAGCTAAATAATTGAATGCAGATCTTAGCAGAATATTATCCGTCCAAGGACAGTGGTTGCATAATTATTTCATATGATATAAATATTTAGAGATTACTTTTCCCTTAGCAATTAAACCAATCGATTTGACTTAAAATCAAAACTGAATTTAAAATGCTTGCTTTTTAAAAAAAGCTTAGTATTTTTGGGTCTGTAGTGTAAATTGAATCATTAAAAAAAACCTGTTGTATTTTAATTAAATTAATACATTTTTGCTTGATCTTATAGGTCATAAAAGTTGAAGTCTGAACACAGGGACACTGGCAAAGAGACTGAGAAATGAATAGGCAAAGTCATGTAAGAATCGACTCAAATGCTGAAATTCTAAAAAAAAAAAATTCAGTTAAATATGAAGTTTTGCATCAAAATTTTATATGTTCTCTTAGCACTGTAGCTTGTGAGGCTACCCCAGAAAACCCTTCTCTGAGGAGATGTCACTGGAGCACAAGGATGAATGACTAATCCATCCCTGCCAAAAGCATCTCCTGCTGATTACAGGTCATGTGTGCTGCCTGCTTGCCTCATGAGCTACATTGTGAATAAAAAATTCATACTCAACAGCACTGGTATCATAATTTTATAATATTTTCATTACTTAGACAATTCTCTTTCTCTAAGGTGTTTTACGGGCATTGCAAGTATTTACTATGGCATGAAAACATTTTAAAATATGCTTTTAAACCATCCCCCCACGTCCCATAGCAAGGTGGGCTCCCTCTATTCTCTCTCCTTTCCAGCTCCTCTCAGCAGCCACATTGCTGTAGCTGCGAGATTTTTATCCTGTAACTAAACTAATTGTGCCTAATCTTTACAAAACGTGTGAGAGTCATTCCTGGAGGGTGCTCCCTGCAGATGCCTCAGCCCGGGCAGATGATCTATTTTCCCTTGTCCAGAGAAAAGCAGAACACAGAGCGGCAGAAGCAGTGCTGGCCGAGCAGGATTGGATCCTGGCCGGCCTTTTGTGGCTGTGGCTGCTCTGGCTTCTTCAGGAGGATTCCGGAAAGTGGAAAAAGCTGAGCACAACAAAAGGCTGAGAAAGGGGGGTAGCCAAAGTGATTACAGTGATTTTTGACTTGTGGATCTCTAAATGTTTTCTGTCATGTGCTTGGCTTTATCCCTCTGCATTGCCTTCCCTGCAGCAGCCGCCACTTCCCAGCTGATCTCTCCTTTCTGTCACTAAAATGAGCAGCCTGGCAATGATGAATATTAAAATTCACCCACTAACACTGCAGTGAGGTGGGGTCCGAGCAGCTCCTACCTCCCAGCCTGCTGTGCCACCCTGACAGCAGATTCGGGAAGGCGACACCACAGTGGTTTATCCTGGTTTCCTTCCCAGCCCTGACAGCTGGTTATAACTGGTTGAGCGATGGCTGGAGTTCAGCACAATTCAAATGTCTCAGACAGTCTATATAAACATCGTTCCTTACTTAGAGGTCCTGTTGGAAGCTGTTTCTGTTGGACACTTAGAGAATTACAGGCTTTAGAAACTACCTGGCAATGCCTTGAACCAGACGCAAAACTTCCACTAATGCAACCTTTAGAGTCTTAAGTAGGTACTTGGCTGCCAGTTGCTTTCAGGCATGCTGTAAAGGGACTTTCTGAAAAAGAAAAAAAAAAGAAAAAAAAAAAAAATCTGACTCTGGACCAGCATCACAGTTTGTTTCATCTCGATTTGGAGTGGTTAAATAGGAATTTGCAAAGGAAATGAATGAGGGGACCAGCTTCTTTCATTTAATAGGCTTGTCTAAGTAGAACCAAGCAACAAAGGAATTCTGTGTAAGGTTTGCAATTTCTGTTGCTCTTGTCTAACCAGATTTAAATCGTCAAAAACAAAACAAACAAACAAACCCCCCAAACCAACATGAGCGAGCGTGAGCGATTTAGACTGTATGCATTACAAGCGATACAGAATATGCATTTATGATTCAAAATTTTAAACAGCTGAGAAATAAATATGCAAAGTAGATTGTTCTGTTTGCAGATGGTAATCCTGCCGCACTGATTTTGCTCAGCTGTCTGATTTTTCAGTGTCTGCATTGCTGGTTCCTGGGATTCCTGATTAAGAAATAAAATATGAGTCACGGTGCATGGTTACCTTCTGCGCATCTGAAAGGCTAACTCAGTGACTGAAAACAAATTATTAGAGGCTGATCTTGCCCTGCTGAATTCGATTCAATGTCAGGGGACCGGGAAAAAAAAATAAAAAGAACCCTTCTGTGCACTGCCCTTCATTTTCACAGCTGTAGGGTAAATGTTCCTGCCAGTTCTTGTAGATCGGCTTGTAGGAGCTCTCTGCCCGGCCCTCTCTGCCGGGGGTCTCTGGGTGGGGACGGCTGGCGGGCAGCCTGCAGCTCGGCAAGGTGAGGCACATCCCTTCCCCTCCCTCTCCCCAGGATGACTCAGTCGGTTATTAAAGATTTCCAGCTTCCAGCTAAAAATGGCATCAGCAGCGGTGCCCCAGAGGGAAAAAGGGGAGACGTGAGAAATGGGTTCTGTTCCTGCCTCCGAGTGCTAACACACACACTCACACACACACACACACACACACACTCGCAGAGCTGGTGTGGAGCTCATCTGGGAAAAGTTTATTTTGCAATAAGAGGGTTTAGTATTCTGCTAAAGGCTTTTGCGAAGACTGGATCCAATTTTCAGAGCCTGTTGCCAATATTTGTGAGTCATTTCCTTGGAATCCTACCTTTGGTGTTTATTTCCCTTAGAAGGAAACTTGTAAAAGAATAACAATAGCTCTCATTCTTCGTGGAAAGTAGCACAGAGCAAAGTGGGAGACAACTCGCTCTTTGTTCCAAAACACTTTTGTGTTTGTTTTGTTTACTTTCTTCAGCAGACAACAAGTGAAGAATGCAATATAATTAACTCCATAAACCATCTCATTTACGGTGCCAGTGACATGCATGTGCTGTGCACCGGAGTGAAAGTTAAGTGGGGAAGTGCTTTTAATTGGTACCTCTGTTCCAGAGCAAGTGATGAGAACTGCCTGGTGATTTGGGAAGTCTCCTCATGTAACAGCAGGGCTTTGCTTTTTCTCAGCCCCGCCCGACTACCGGGACTCCTTTTTCTCTCCGACTTCAGCCCCACTAATCGCACTGCGAGCACCTATTCAGGGTTAAAACCCCTGGCAAAGGTTAACTAAGCAGAGATGCTGTGGGTTTCAGATTGCCGCAAGACGAGCACCTTTTGCCCTCAGGACACCGAGGCGTTTCCAGCACTAAAGCCCCGCTGTGCTAAATGGATCCTGGACAGAGTTTTTTTATGTCGAGCAAGGCCACGCAGCCACCAGCGGGGTGGAGGCGGAGAGCGTATGAGACATATTGGCTAAGAACACTGGAAAAAGTATTTATGCTTGCTGAAATAAATACCATGAGGCTTTATTGTTCTCCCAGACCAGGCAGGCAAAGCAGCCTTAGGGAGATGGCTGCACTAAATGTGATGGCACCTTTTCTCATATCTGCCAGAGCCCTGTGGCAAAATAAATTGCAATTTTGCTTGCATTTTCATGATTCAGTTCTGAGGAAAACTTTAACTGTTAGAACCAGCATTTAAGAGTTCGTTGTACATTGGCTACCAAGAGTTCTGATAGGTGACATATACCTACAAAGAAATAAGAGAGGAAACATCTTTTCTGTCAGAACAGAAACTTTCTCTTGTTCTGCCTCATAGAAACCAAAAGCAGGAGAAAGCACAAGTGTTAGGAATCCAAAAGGACATTTTCCTTTACATTTTTTTTTCTTTTTTTTTTCTTCTTTTCACTGAAACCCAAGGGACTCTGGCGTTCTGGTCCAGAGCAACTCCATAAAGTCTTTCTGGGAACAATTCAACTGAAAAGTATGTAAAGAAAAAAATTAGCATGTGGGAATTAGAAAAAGTAGAGAAATGCTTGCTTTGAATGCTGTCTGCAGAAAGAGACCCTTAAGCACCTGAAGCTGTATGATCTAAATTAGGGTAGAAGTTAAGGGAAGATACCTTTGGAAAACTTCTATGAAAGGGCTGTATCTTGACACTGAAATCAGTTAAAATTAATCAATAATAAAGCGTGAATTCCTTTTCCACCAAACAGTAAGTCCAGCTCTAGAAAAAGAAGAGGAGGGGGAAAAAAAAAAAGAAAGCAAAAGAAAAAAACCCAGTGTATTCCTTGAAATTCCCTGAAGTCAGGGCCAAGAAATACAGAGAAAAACACTAGACTTGGCAGGTCTATAGTTTATCTATACTTCTGAAGGATGAAAAGCTGAATTGACCCTGCTGGCACACAAATCTGTTGTTCTACCAGTCTAGTTATTTCAGCCAGCCTTAACCCTTTCATTTCACCCTTGGGTCCTGCTTCTCTTAGATGGTGTTATAGACATTTCTGGTAGAGGTGCAGCTGTAGAAACAGAAAATCCTCATTGCCTCGGGCCCAGACCATCTCACTGCACCTGTCCTCATTCCCCTCTTCCCCCTGCTGCCCCTCTCATGACCTGGCTTGATGACTCTCCCTCACCACAGACCAGGGACAGCTCTGCCCTGGCATGAGGCAGCTCTCCTCAGCTATCTTATATCAATAAGAGAAAGAAGTCTCCCTGTCTGCTCCCAACCATGGACTGCCTCTTGGAAGTCCAGTTTTCAATTTAAATCCATCATGGCCAATGCTAGAGGCTTTTCCACTTCTTGCAGCCTTGCTGCTCAGCTTGCCTCCAAAGCCCTGAGTGCAGGGATTGTCTTTGATCCTTTGCTTTCATTTCCTGTGACTGGGCTGCCCCAGTGTGCTGTGATTAGGTGTCCCCTGCATTTCCATTCATAACATGCTTCATTCACAGAATTACTACAACTCTATACATATCTATCCAAACAATAAACATTTTAATCAAGGCCCTCGTTATCTCTCATCTTTGTTTGTAACTTCCTCCTCCTTGAGCTTGTGACATATCACCCAGTTTGATCTATTTAAACACAAGCTCCCAACATCCTCTTCCCTGTCTGCTGCTGTGGTCAGAGCCAAGCCACCTCCTGCCTGTCCTCCTTATTTGCTTCCACTTAGTCTTTTATTTTCCCATGTGAGGTTGTCACAGTTCTGCCATAGCTGTCATCACTCCACTATTGTCTCTACAGCATGGCTCTGCTCTCTTTGCCAGTGATGCTGGTGTCCTCATGCCTTTATCTGCTGCTCCCAGGGGAGCCTTTATGCCCTTTTCCATGACGCTCTTGGCCATCCACAGGATGCCCTGCCTCCCTCGGTTAAGCTGGTGACACCAAACTTTCTTGCATCAACCATAAAGAGCAGACAGTCTGTCATGAGGTTAGCCTGGACAGTTTACAGGTGACACAGTTGGGTAGCTTTTTTTAAAGGGAGGTACATCAGTCTGGGTATGTGTTTGTGTCTTACCCTTTCTTCTCGCTAGCTGTCATTGCCTCCTTAGACAGCCTGTGTGCAGTGGGATTCCTCATTGCTTCTGCATTGTAAATTTTCTGAAACACCAGAAAGGTAACAGCTACCAAATGGCAATTTTGTTTTCTAAGCGCTGCAATCCAGATGTTGACAATGGTATAGCACAGC